ACCGTGCAATTGAATAAAGTGCCATTGAATCACGGCTTTGTTTAGATTTGGTCATCAAAGAGGAGAGGCTTCTAAGAGAGAGCAAGTGCGCCTTGATCCGGGAGAAAGAGGCCCTAGAGGAGAATTGCAATGTCTTCCAAAGGCCAAATGTTTTTATATTGCCAATCGGACAAAAAATAAGCGAAAGCCTCCCCAAAAAGGCTTGGTGACAAGGTCTACAGACTTCTCTTCCGCGACAGTAACAAAACCTACAGCTAATTTAGCAGTCACAGCTTTGCTGTTATTGCTCAATTTATTACATTACAAACACTAAAAAAAAACATAGAAAACGAGTACAATAAGTACAGGAACGGGCTTCCTGAGAACCAGCACTTAACGCCCCAACTGGGCACCTAAAGATGCTTCTGAGATCTTCTGATGTTACGCCTGCTGCTTTTCGCTATCCGGCTGGGGATGGGCTGCAATGTATTCCAGCGCGCGGGCGATGGCAGCAGGAATTTCTGGAGCCTGAGGAATGTCGTCGCTTTGGGGCTGGTACCCGTTCTCATCAGCCACGTAGCTCAGTTGGTGCGGGTTCCCCTCGCTGTCTGTCCACGAAGCTGAACCCTGGAGGACGACTGGCGTTTCTTGGTCAATCTGAAGCACAAAAACCTCTTTGTGAATCGGATTGAATTAGCTTCAAGAAGCAACTGGAAGCCAGGAATAACTGACAAAGTTCAAAGCAGGGGCGGATCCAGCTTTAAAGTCATAGGGGGTTATGTAGCAAAAATACAGTCCAAGAATGGCTTTTTTCATAGTTTCTCAAGAACCATTCGCTAAAATTTTTAGTTAGCGAGAGAAACACGATTGTGATGTATGGACCAACTTTGTAGTTAGCGAGAAAAACACGTTTGTGATTTTTAGAACAAGTTTGCTTTCCAAAGTTAGATTTCCGAAGCGAAACCAGCTGAAAAACAAATTTGCAGAAAACTTCCTAAAATCCAACGAAAACGACGATTCGGAGCTGAAAAGATACTTAGCGCGTTTAGTTAGCGAGAAAAACAGGTTTGTGATGTTTAGACCAAGTTTCTATGACAAAGTTAGATTTCCGAAGAGAAACCAGCAGAAAAATAAATTTGCAGAAAACTTTCTAAATTCCAACAAAAACGACGATTTGGAGTTGAGACGATACTTAGCACGTTTACTTAGCGAGAAAAACACGATTGTGACGCTTGGCCAACTTTGCAGTTAGCGAGAAAAACACGTTTGTGATGTTTAGACCAAGTTTGTATGACAAAGTTAAATTTCCGAAGGAAAACCAGCTGAAAGACAAATTTGCAGAAAACTTCCTAAAATCCAACAAAAACGACGATTTGGAGTTGAGACGATATGAGAAGTTTGTATGACAAAGTTAAATTTCGAGTTTTCCGTCTCCTTTTTGCTCATATCTCGGAGGCAAAATGAGCAAGAACGCTCATGTGTACATCATTCTAGACAGAAATAAATGGCCTTTTTAGAAAGTGAACCATAAATGGGAAAATTTTGGCAGTTTTCTCAAAAAAGGCTTGAATTCAAGAAGTTTCAGATTCGCGTGGTTTTTTTTCAGTTGCAAAATCCACTTGAACATGACGCTGCTTTTTTCGAAGTTTCTCAAGAACCATTCGAGCCAGAAAATTAGTTTTGGCATCGTTGGATAGAGAATTGATTGGGGGGGGGGTCACGACCCCCATGACCCCCCCCCTGGATCCGCCCTTGGTTCAAAGTGGTACCAACGCGGAAATGCATGGGTTTTATAAGAGGTTTAAATCGCGTGATCGCAAATGCCCGAAATTCGCTCTCAGGTTTGGCTGCAAAGAGTTGATTTAAATTCAAAAATCTGGGATTAAATATTGAAAAAATACGGAATTTCTGGCTAGAAACACAAACACACGTACCTATCGAAAATTGGAAAAATTGCCATCCTGCGCACTCTCAACTGACTTTCGCACATCGCACTCCAGCATATCGGGCCCTAACAAAATACATTGTTTTTTCAATAATATTAAACTCTGTTGCTGTATACTAAACATCTTTTCCCCAATCCTCAGACTTTTGGAAAAATTATCGGCATCAACAGGAAGCGTGTGCGACTGCAGGAAATCTAAAAGCGCGAATAATTGTTTCTAAGTTCCACTCCTCATGTGGATAAAGCAAGCAAAAGAAACTTTCAGCCACGAAAATGAAAAAACCACTACAAAAACTAAATTTTAAGCTTGCATGGGAAAAAGTTTCCTCTTTTCAGGGGCGTACCAGGCGCTTCTTGAACTGGATCAGTTGAGGAGAAAATAGTTAAAATTCTGTCTGACGTCGCTTCATTCAGACGCACGCCTGCACTCAGAAGTGAAGAAAATTGCCAAAAATTTAATGTTATTGGTAATGCACTAAAATTTTCTGGATTCAGAGAGAAAAATGGGCTTTTCCAGCGGTGCCAACAGTACCGTTCTATCTGGCCTGATTTTGGAGAAATTCAAACACAAAAATCAGTTTGCTAAGTGGCGTCATTCACAAACACCATTGCATTTGGAGTCGGAACTTTTTGTAAAAAAATACTGCAAAGCAGTACGAAACCGATATTTAGAGCTCGAATGGGACAAAATGTGCTCTTTTCAGTGGCCTTGGATTTATCCAGTTCAGGAGAAATTAATTAATCAAATTCACTCAGGTGCACAGCTGCAGTCGCAAGCAAAAAAAAAGCTAAAAATTAGTTCCAAGTGCTAAACCCGCAAATATTTCCACTTTCAAAGACAAAAGTACGCTCTTTCCAGCCCTGCTAACAGCTACTTTCCTTCTGGCCTGCTTTAGAGGAAAAACATTAATTAATTAAAATGCCCCTGCCAAGTACTACCACTCGGACACGGGTGGTCGCAACTAAAGCGAGCCGTAAAAAATAATGTTGAAGACAAAACAGTAAAAAGTGCTTCTCCCTTGTAGACAAATCTTCACTCTTTCCAGTGATGTTTCTCGCATCCTTCTACCTGGCCTGGCTTGGGAGATATTTTGAATTAAAACTCGGTCAGGTGAGGAGCCTGGCAGTGGCATTCGGAGACAGAATTGGGTGTTTTCCTTTTTTTTAATGTTGATATATAGAAAGTAGTTATGGCAAACGTTGCACTGATGTAATTTTTTTGGCAAAAAAGTCCCCATAATAATTTTAAAGCGAATTTAAATTCAATCCAGATATTTTCCGCCAAAAACGCCGAGTCCGTATCGTCGGTTGCCTATCGCGATTATGACGTAGCAGCTCATATCAACAAAGTGTCATACCAACCAAGCATAACGGCGTCTGTATATATATATCGGCATCGATTAAACAAAAACAGAGCTTTGGACTGTTCCGAACTCTATTTCTAACAATTTTCGAAAAAGCGAAATTCCTGCATATTCGCGAATTATGCAATGATCTACGATTCGCCAGTTGACCTTCCGTTGACATTTTCAAAGCGATTGAAAAGCAATTTAGAAGCCATAAAACCGAGAAGTTCGAACCTGTTTAGGTACACCAGTTTGTTCCTGTTTGGCACCATCTCCGGTTTCGAAGGACCACTTAAAGGCACCGTCCGGTTGGATGTCGCTGTCCTGCGCAACAATCGGCACTGGCTCCGTTTCGGCAGGAGCGCACTGGCCGACCGCAACTAACCCCAAAAAAGCAATAATCGCGAATTTCACCATTTTCGTCGCAGACACTGATGACTTCCGAACAAAGTCGCCAGTTATTTATATGGGAAAATGCGTCAATGCGACCCCTCCTGTACATTTTGTGTTGAACAAACAAATTTCTCTGTTCAGGGCCGTAGCAATATTGATCGACACTCAATCATAATTCGCGTTGGCTTTGCGTAATTGGCAAATTGTTATTGTTACGACACTGAAGTCATCATTCACTATTGGTAGTTTGACTGAATTTGTAACCAAACACACACAAGCCAGAGTCGTAAATCTTCATCTGAAATGTTTGAGGAATTTATTTGCGGTCGTGCTTGGGTTTAGAAAACTAGTGGCATAATGTCAAGGGCGATTGTTAGATCATACACTTTTCGAAATTCTTGTATCAAAGTCTTCAATATCGTTCAGAAGAAAGCGAATTTTTAATTCAAACACTAATAGTTCTTCATGAGTTTTCATTCATTCTTCCATTGGTTCTTTTCGCTGTAAGCATGCCACTCTCAGTGCAAGCGTCGCTCTCTATGTGTTCTTCCCAGTAACATTTGGTTGCAATTTTCGGATTCTTCTTTGGAAGAATCGCCTGCCTGAAGAATCGAAGTAGCCTGCAGAGATCGCGCGCCTCTTGATTGGCCCATAAGAGTGCCAATGACTTTTTTCAACGACACCTTCACATTCCACTTCTTGCCCGATAAAGATAACGAGATCAATGGGGTAGGTCTAGGTCTAATTGCTTTCTTGCTTAAGTCGCTGTTGCTTCACAGCATCTCAATATGTGCTAGATGGGAGCACAAAAAATTGCTGAACAGAAATCGATTGTGTAACAAGTCTGAGGTGTTTTCGATGCTCTGAATGCAAATAATATGAGGGAAGAAAAATGTGAATCACTAATCAATAAGCAATCGATGAACCAGCAGAATTCTGATGAAGAAAGTGAAGAGAAATGTGGCACCCTGTATGCCAAGGAAGGATTTGTGCATCCATCTCACAAACGGCTTTCTTCAATTAAGTCTTCTGTTATCTATGAAATTAGAAAAATGATCGTCATTTTGTGCAAGAGTGGCGTAAGATTATTGCGAAATTTCATGTTTTCCGTCCCGTTTTGCATGTTTCTCGGAAGCAAAATGAGCAACAACGCTCGTTTTTGCATCATTCCAGAGATAACTAAATGGCCTTTATTCGAAGTTTCTCAAGAACCATTCGAGCCACAGAATTCGTTTTGGCAACGTTGGATAGAGAATTGAAAAGTCGATTTAGTCGTAACAACGTGAGTGAGGAAATTCGAGTAGTTTTGACACAGAAAGCGAAATTTGAATATCAG